ACCAAGATGGTACATTTTGTACTATGTACAAAATCTATCACAGGTGAAGAAACAGCTAAGCTCTTTCTTGACAATATCTATCTCTATCATGGATTACCCAAGGATATTATATCAGATAGGGGAACTCAATTTGTATCAAGATTTTGGCGGACTCTTTTCAAGATTCTTAAAGTGGATATAAAACTATATTCGACATTCTATCCTCAAACTGATGGACAAACGGAGAGTGTTAATCAAGGTTTGGAGCAATATTTAAGATGTACCATTAATTACCAACAAGATGATTGGACAACTCTTTTACCATTGGTAGAGTTTGCTTACAATAACACGGTACATTCTTCTACAAAAAAAACACCTTTCTTTGCTAATTATGGTTATCATCCACGACTTGATACTTTTGACTTTTCAAAAGTTGATAATCCTATTGCGAAAGATTTGGCAATTCATTTATCACAGCTACATGCAACAATGAAGGCGTAGTTAAAAGAGGCTCAAGAACAACAAAAGGTCAATGCGGATGTCTATCAAAAGGAACAACCATCATTCATCTTGGGTGATAAGGTATGGCTACTTCGTCGCAATATCAAGACCACTCGTCCTTGTGACAAGTTGGACTATCGAAGGCTGTGACCATTTTCTATTTCTGCACAAATCAATCCAGTTGCATATCGTTTACATCTATCGGAGTTAATGAAAATCCATCCAGTATTCCACATGTCTCTTCTTGAACCATACAAGATAGTGGACATACCAAGAAGACAACAAGCTCCACTTCCTCTTATAGAAGTGGATAATAATGAAGAATTTGAAGTAGAAGAAGTCTTAGATTCAACGCGACGCCAAAATAAATTAGAATATCTTGTCCATTGGCGCGGATATGGTATTAGTAAATGTTTATGGGAGCCAATAAAGAATCTTGCAAATGTAGCAAAGGCGGTGGAGGCTTTTTATCGATGACATCCATCAAAATCAAGATGAAAACCTTCTTTATAAAAGAAACAACATCTAGGCAAGATAACATTCTACTTTCAATTCTTGTTCGTAGCTTCTTTGTAGTAGTGACGCTTAGGAGATGGAGAACCAACAACCAGCGGATTCGACTCAAGAGCCTTCATTTGCTGACCTGCAGGATGAGACATTACGATTGTCACAACCTTCAAGACGACGCAATCGAGATGAAGATTTTCAAGAACGACATGTTCTTCCTCGAATAGATGGCGAGATACAACGCGCTTGGTATCACAATTTGGGAAGAGACTCCCGATGTTTGGTGATTGTGCTAGAGATAGGAACAACTCCTGATGGTATTCCAAATATTCTATTCGAAGGAAGTTACGAAGGCCTCAACAATGATCAAATAATTGGATGGTCTTCCCGCCCTGGTATGGGACACTACTGATGGTTGAGAGGCCCTATCAATCATCTTCGAAGAGAACAAAGATCAGAGTATGTCACGAATACAATTCGTCGCATCATAGATTTCTTCAACATATGATGACCGCTCCTTGTGGAACTCGTCTCTAGAAGGGGGGATAATATCACGGACATAATTATGTAAGCTAGTAATTACATATACAAATAGGTAGAAGTAAGTAAAAGTAGGTAAAAGTAAGTAAATTCTATATTATTTAATATGAAAGCTTCTTAGAAGCTTCATAGACGTTGCTTTGACTTCATAGCTGTCTTTAATTGACTTTTTGGATTAGAAACGTGGTCAACAAGTTGGCCATGTCCCACACATGTTGTTAGTTTGAAGATCAAGCTAGCTATGTGGTCCACACGTAGAAGAACTTGCCTTATAAGTCAAGGCATGTGTCCTATAAAGTCAACACATATTGGAGGTCTTATAGAACGTCGCCACGTAGCCTCTAGTTAGATAGTATATATAGAGACAAGAGTGAAGGCTTCTTCACTCTTGTCAACTCCTTTCTTGCTTCTAGTCCAGGTTCAAGAGTCTTTAGTTTCTTGTCTTGTGGCAATAGCCATTCCAGTTTCCTTTTAATATACCTACTTGTTTATATTTTGACTTATTATATCGAGATAGCCTTTTTGTGTATATTTTCCCTCATCGAGTCTTTGTCCTTGAAAATTAGCCATCTTATATTACGATAATGTGTCTTTTTTTGAACTATATAAAATAATGAATAACTCAAGAAGAAGACAAATACCACCTCTTTTAATAGAAGTAGTTAATAATCAAAAGTTTGAGGTAGAAGAAGTCTTAGATTAAAGATAGTCGTAAAAATAGATTGAGATATCTTGTTCATTGGCATAGATATGATATTAATAAATATACACATGAGCCAATAAAGAATCTTGCAAATGCAATAAAGAAGGTTGAAGTTTTTTATTGACAACATCCATCAAAACTAAGATGAAGAATAACAAACCTTTGCTATAAAAGAAATAAGATACAAGGAAAATAACATTCTACTTTCTATTCTTATTTATAGCTTCTATGTATTTGTGGTACTAAGGAGATGGAGAACTAATAACTTACAAATTCAACTCAAGAGCTTTCATTTACTAATTTATAAAATAAGATATTACAATTGTCACAACCTTCAAGATGACATAATTGATATGAAGATTCTCAAAAACGACATGTTCTTCTTCAAATAAATGATGAGATACAATGTATTTGGTATCACAATCTTGGAAGAGATTCGTAATGTTTGATAATTTTATTAGGGATAAGAGCAACTCTTAATAGTATTCCAAATGTTTCATTTGAAAAGAATTAGGAAGGCCTCAACAACAATCAAATAATAAGATGGTTTTTCCATTGTAGTATCAAACACTATCAATAATTGAGAGAACTTATCAACCATCTTAGAAGAAAACAAAGACTAGACTATATAGCAAATACAATTTGCCAAATCCTATATTTTTTCAACATATGATGACTACTCCTTGTGGAACTCATCCTTAAAAGGAGAGATAATATCTTTCACATACATATTTATTTCAATAATTACCTATATTATTAAGTAGAAATAAATTAAAATAGATTAATTGTGTAATATTTTCTAAAGAAGTTTTTTAGAAGCTTCATAGATACTACTTTGACTTTACATGTATTTGTAATAAATTGATAGGCTAAAAACTTAGTCAATAAGTTAGTCACATGTCACACATTTTAATAGCTTGTAGAAAAAGTTAACTATGTGACGTGCATATAGATAACTTCCTTGCAAGTTAAAACATGTCTCTAGCAAAGTCAACATGTGTTGGAGGTCGTATAGAATATTGTCATATAGCTCCTAGTTAGAGAGTATATATGGAGGCAAGAATGAAGCCTTCTTTACTCTTGTCAATGCCTTTCTAAACCTTAGTCTTATTTCAAGACTTTCTAATCTTCTTTTCTTTAGCAATAGCCATTTTAGTTCAATATATTACCATCTTTGAAGATTCAGCCAATAGATGTTGGAATCATTGTAGCATTCAAGCAATACTACTCTCACTTCTATTTGTGAGATATACTTGATTGTTTCAAGCAAAATGAAATGAACTTATACAAGGTCGACTAATTGATGGCAATACAATGGGCACCTATGGCTTAGACAAAAATATCTCTAATAATAATACAAAATCATTTTTGGCATTCTAGATTGTTTAAACAAGTACATGAAGTTGGAGAAATCAATGGTGAAGAAATAATCAAAGAAGAGCTAGTGGGCATAATTTGAGATCTTCCATTAAGGAATCCAATGTCAATTAAAAATCTCCTTAATCCAATTGAAGAAAACAATGTGCATATTGAGCTAAATGATCATAAAATTGTCGAGCTTGTTTGCCATCAACAAGCACAAGAAAGCAAAGGTGCTGATAACACCCTTGAGGAAGATTGTGTGCTAGTGTCATTCATACACATAGAAATGTTGTAAAGATTTTTTTGTGGCTATTTCCATGCTAAACATTAGAGATGTGGGTGAATATACTACCCGCAAGACTCTTCGCAACATTTAGTAGAAGCCTTCGAATAGAGCATGTTAGATTCTTCACTAAACTAGATTACCTACTATTTATATCCTCTATAAAGTTATAGCCTTCTATTTTTATTTATTTATTTTTCTCATTAGCCATAATCAATAATTTATCAGAATTATTACTTAACTAGAATGTAACTAGGTCGTTTCCTCAATTTTTTAAAACTTATCGAGATTTATAATATATTAGAAGATAACTTACAAGAAGTAATAGTGTATATATATATATATATATATATATATATATTTCATATCTAAAACATGCCATTATTGCCATCACTACTCTTGTGGTATGCTATAACTCCTTCAAAACTATCTCAGATACAACTTCAATACTATTGTCACTTAGCATTCCAAGCCTTAGAAATTAAAATTTGTATGATTTAATATAAGTTATCTAATGCAAGCAAGTACTTATTTGGATGAATAAAACTTCATTACCTTCATAAAAAACTCAAAATATTTTTATTTTATCATGATTAAACAAAAATTAGATGTTTGTTTGATATTAATCTTTTAAAAAGTTCTATAGAATTATCTATTTTAATGAATAAAAGATAAAAATATTTTCATTTTTATTTTTTTAGTTTTTTTATATGCACATAGGTGATTAAATAAAATTTTATTTTAAAATAAATAATATACATGAATATGTATACATTACAATTTATTGCAAATTAAATAGTGTATATATTACAATTCACCAATAAAAATTATTTTAAATATTTTTCAAAGAAATAAAAGTAAAGTAGTATACAAGTGAATTGTATTGCATATTAACTATTTTAGTTTCTTGTCTTATATGTGTATAATTTTATAAATTTTAAAATTGCATAGAGATTTATAATTTATGAAAAATTATTGCCTATGTAATACAATTGCAAAAAAAGTGACTATGACTTCAAGTCACAAGTATGGTGTGTGTATCACATATGGTGGCTTTTGGATCCTTCCATGACATTTTCACTTTTCTCGGTCCATCAAAAATAAACATTTACAAGTAGTCGTGCCTCTTTGTGAATGTGTATATTTGAACACTCTTATTTTCAGCACTTGGAATGTGAAAGTGGCCTTCCATTCATTTTGCAAGGAGATCACTGAGTCATCTACTCAATACACGTTGTTTGTCAACTATCTCTATCTGCATTGGTGCACGTTAAATGCACCTTGTAATAATTCTAGTGACTAAGCGAAAGTTAAGTAGTGACTTCAATTTCATTAACGTACTTGAGTTTCAATTCGACAGAGCTGCAGTTTAATTCGAAGGTCGGTAGCCAAGGGTTTCCTTTATGTAGTAATGCACCACCAGAGCTTGTTGTTTGGATGCGCTTCGCTCCACAGTTTGTAGGTCATTTCCCTCGGAACCACTGCACCTCTGAAGTGACAAGTCTTAAATTAACATAGTTAACTTCCAACAAGGCACTTAGGTGGCGCTGTAGTCATCGCATCTCTTCCTCAAGGTGTCACCAACTATGCAGTTGCATCTGGACAATCTCATGAAGTCAATAAGCTCATAGTCGCCAGTAAATACTCCCATAGTTGTGGTCCTATTTCATTGGCTGTTACCGAGTGCCCGTCTCTTCTACTCCCCTTGAGGTTGTCCGTGCATAGAATCAAATTGGGCTAGCGTTCCACACTTTCGGGAAGAAGTTGCTTGTGAAGGGAAGTGCAACATCGCTGTTGCGAAAGATGGGCCCTGACAAGGCTCCGACTTGGTCCCCCAGACACTGAAGACACAGTTCATCTGCTACAAGTGACTGTAACAGTAAGGTGAAGTGACTGCGGTCTGTATTCGACTTGATCTCAGCATTTCCACGATTTCCCTCATTGTAGGTCGTTCTGTTGGTGTATCTCTGGAGCAACGCATTGCAATCCGGAGCACACGAAGCATTTGTTCTTTCTGGTCCTTGTTGGTAGTGCGGAGAAGCTTTGGATCAAAAATTGCTTCTCCAACATTAATCCCAACATTTTTCTGTGGCAGTGACCCACTCTGATGAAATTTAGCCCGAGCCCACACAACTATGTGCATGTGATCTCCGAAACTTGGATCAACTGGTTGCTTCCCAGTTAAAAGCTCTAACAGCAGCACTCCGTAAGAGTAGACATCCACTTTTGGTGTCACTATTGTGCCAAATCCATATTCTGCAACACACTTAAAGTATAAGAAAACCAATCAAAATAATTACAATTAAAGATCTTATCGATGATTCGTCGTTTCAGCTTTCCTAGAATTGGAAGCTAATTCTGCTGTCTGCAGAATAATAATAGTTTAGACTAAAAAATTTAATTTTGCGAAAAAAGTGAACAAGAATGTTACCAGGAGCAATGTAGCCGTACGTTCCCGTTACAAATGCGGTGGATAACATTGTGTTTTTGTCTTTAGGCTTCATAGCCATCACTTTTGCAACTCCGAAGTCTGAAATATGCGGCTCCAAATCCTCGTCGAGCAAAACATTGCTGGCTTTGATGTCGCGATGTACAATAGGAGGCACATAATCGTGGTGAAGATACGACAAACCATGCGCTACACCTTCTGCAATTCGCAACCTCGTCGTCCAGTCCAACATTATTCCTCTTTCTTTATTGTGCAACACATCATGGAGGTCGCCATTTGGAACGAAGTCATACAGGAGGAGCCCCACCTCGCCCCACTTACAGAATCCTAGCAGCTTCACGAGGTTGCGGTGCTTGGCATTTCCAATCGTTTCGATCTCCGTCAAGAAGCTCTTGTGAATGTGTTTGTTCCGTTCAAGAGAGACTATCTTCTTCACCACAATAGAGCTGCCAGATGCTAATATCGCTTTGTATACTGTCCCATGCCCGCCCTTACCGATAATACAGTGATCGCTCAAGTTTTGCGTTGCCTTCATGATTTCCTCGAAAGAGATTGTACACCCCGGTGCGCTTGTGAATTCCACGGTTCCCTCCCACACTAGTGGCACATGCCGTCGTCCTGGAAGATACCGCCACCCTACTAGTCCGACCACGAATAGAAAGAGAGCACTCCCTATGATTATTGCAGTCAATGGCCCCACTTGGAGGTCGTCATGTTTATTACGCGTTTTAAGTGGGGTGGAACTCACACATTTATTTTCTTTGGAATATTGAAGGCACAAACCTGGATTTCCCACAAAAGCGCTTGGTGTCTCACGTAGAAACTTCACCCATGAAGGAGGCAACGAACCTGTCAATTTGTTGTACGAAATGTTCACGGTAAGAAGAGAGCGACTATCCCCAAGCGCTGAAGGAATACTGCCTGTTAGATTATTATTGGAGAGGTCAAGTGACTCAAGCTGGTTCAGCTTCCCTATGCTTTCCGGAATTCGTCCCGAGAAACCCCCGTAGCTCAAATTGAGATAGGCGAGCGTCGATACGGTCCCGATTTCAAGTGGTATAGATCCGTTGAAGGAATTTTGGGCGAGGCTAAGCCTGGTCAGTTTGACAAATTCCGGGAAAATACGAGGATTCATTCCACTGATCTTGTTGCCTTTCAACCTAAGCTCAAACAATTTCGTAAGGTTTCCTAGTGAAGCCGGGATGCTTCCGCTTATACGGTTGAAGCTTAAGTCTAACGAAAAAAGTTTCGTGCAGCTCGAAACCGTTGTTGGAATTTCACCTGTTAAATTGTTAGAAGACAAATTAAGACTCTCGAGGTTAGGCAGGTTGGAGAACATCAAGCGAGAAAGGTTACCCGACAGCTTGTTGTTGCCAAGGGCCAGGTAACCGAGGTTGCTATTGACCCCCAGCCCAAGCGGCAGCGGTCCCTCAAGCTGGTTGCATGTGAGCTCTACCCTATCCAGCACGGTATTGTTTCCAAACCCAGCAGGTAGGCTTGTAAATCGGTTGTACCCTGCTCGGAAGCGCCTCAGGCTGCGACATGCTGCAAGAGACGATGGAATGGCTCCTTCAAACATATTGTCCTGAATATCAAGGAACTCTAGTTTTCCTGAATTACAAAGACCTTCTGGCAGCGTACCGTTGAATGTATTGTTGCGGATGTCCAGGACACTGAGATTATCCATAAACATGCCAATTCCTGGTGGCAGAGGTCCCGACATGAGGTTGTCGAAGAGGAAAATCTCCTGTAACGCTGTCATGTTCGACAACCCTGCTGGTATTGTCCCTGTGAACCTGTTGGAATTGAGAACCATCTCAGCCAAGCTTCTTAGTTCGGTGATCTCCTCGGGTATGCTCCCTGAGAATCTGTTCTCGCTAATCCTCAAGCTAAGCAACCCAGTCAGGCGCCCAATAAGTGGTGGGATGCTGCCGGAGAACGAATTTTGTGCCAAATAAAAGCTCTGTAGAGATGTGCAGTTGAAGATTTGCGAGGGAATGCTTCCAGACATCGAGTTGTTGTAGACTTCAAATATCTTAAGCTTAGATAACTTTCCAAGCGAGGAAGGAATTGAGCCATTTAAACGGTTCACGTACAAAATAACTTCCTCTAGTAACTCGCAATCTCCAAGTTCTGCTGGAATCGGTCCTGTAAGCTCATTTTGATACAAATGCAGTAGCGTCATGTTTCTAAGCTGACCAAATTCGGAGGGAATGTTTCCTGTTAGCTTGTTTGTAGAAAGATACATGACTTGTAAGCTACTTAAATGTCCGAGCTCGGGTGGAATGCCGCCAGTGAAATTATTATCTCGGATGTCAAATACCTGAAGGTTCCTAAGGTTCCCAACCTCCTTCGGAATCACTCCTCCGAAACTGGAGTTCCCGTTACCCTGTTTGTTGAGGAGAATTCTTCTGAGCGAGGTGGCGTTACCTATGGATGGGGGCAACGTGCCACTGAAGTAGTTGAATTGCATCCATATATCGGTAATAGCAGGCAGCTTCGATAGCGCGTCCAATGCTGCACCACACAGGACGAAAGACATAAATAAACGTCTACTGGTCATGGTGATTGACTTCCTTCTAGTTACATGTGTCAGCTTCAGTCTGCTCAAGAAAGTGACCAAATCAATTTCAACTTAGATCTCCATATTTGATGTTGGTACTTGCTGCTGTTTTATTGAAGAAAATTGTGAGTTGGTCAACTGACTCAAAGCAGTACTTTCCGCCTGCAATTTTCCGGAGATAGATCCCAGCAGTTGTACCAGCTTTCGGGCTGAATGCTTTGGAACAACCGAATCCTATCAAGATTAGGGGTTGCTCCGGGACTTGTCTCACCAATTTATGCTACAAATTCAGGGAAATAATCATTTAGTCGTTTCTAGCTTATGCTCATTGTACGCTTGGCGCCGATTGAACTCAACGTGAAGCTTGATAAGTCTATCGACTCTCTACAAGATGTACCAGCAAGGTACTTGACTAATCGGAAAGACCTTTCACGAAGGTTACTCTACATAAGCGACGGCTGCGATGCTCTTCTTGCGATCCGTTACATGTTCAAGAGCCGCTTGTAAGATCTGAACCAGAATTCTATGAGACCAATCATCAAGCGTGGATGGGGATGACAAACTCTTTATCTAAATGCATCTAGTACCGAGGATATGCTCTTGATGCTTAAGCGCCATATATCTAAAAGATGAATTTCCAACCAGTCTCGCATGACTGTCCTGACCTTGGAGAAAATTATGAGCGCAAGTACATTTTGCACACCTCATAAATTGTCGACGAAGAGCGGCCAGCTGAGGATGCTCACTTGATCAATCTACCATCTCCCCACCACAATTCCTCCTATATTGTGTGCACTTAATCGCAACAGGTAAGTACTGCTCTCGCTCAAGCCTAGCGGGAGACTTCAGATGCTACACTTCAAGATTTTGTTGACTGGACTTGAGAAAGTAAGAGAGTTCTCTTGGACCTACAGCAACCACAATTTTGTGAATTCTTGGCGAGTTCATTTCTGAAAATGAAAAGGAGAGAAGGCAATCAGATGTGCACCTGTGGTGATGTCTCCGGTGAAATTGTTGTCATTGACGTACAGGCCTACAAGGTTGGGATTCTCAAAAAGCACGGATGGAATGCGACCGGAAAGATGATTACTTCCAACGTCGAATGAGAACAGGCTTGGGCAGGCCGCAAATGAAATAGGAATGTCGCCTTCCAGTTCGTTGAAGGCGAACATAACATCACCGAGCTTCGTGAGATTTCCGAGTTCAGCTGGGATGGTTCCAGAAAGACGGTTCTGATTGAGGTACATTAACACAAGGCTAGTGCAGTTACCGAGCTCCGGAGGAATTCTCCCCTGGAAACTATTAAACGATAATACCAGCTCCTCCAGCGATTTCAAACTTCCCAAACTTGGAGATATCTCGCCTTCAAGACCCAAGGACGTTAAGTTGATGGTGCGAACAAAGCCTTGCGGATTACAAGTAATTCCAGTCCAAAGACATGGCGTCGTGTCCAGATCATTCCAATCCCCAAGTGTTGCCAACACGACTTCCGTATTAGTTAACCCTCTTTTGAATTCCAGCAACGCTTGGCCTTCCGATGTCATTGCTTTGCACCGGGTGACTCGCACAGCAACGAGGAATAGAAAGAGCACGGCCCTAGCAAGAAGCATTTTTGCTTTCAGAAGCATCTTTGAGGATATATGTGCAAGTAGCACACCTTGTTCCGAGAACCTTCACTTTTTGTTAGAGTTCTCTTCAGAACATCCGTCGGATTCATTTTCCACCAACATGACTCGAGTTGGAAAGAATGTTTTGAATGCTCGAAACCAATTCTATCTGCAAGCATCAGTAACACCATTGCTGGCGTAACTGAAATTCGCTTCCATGGCCTGGATCATTATCTCAAAAGGATCGAAGTCCTTTGAACAAATTTCCTATCACAGCGCACCTTGCAGAACAAGAAACTTCATGCAGCGGCTGTGACATCGGTTCATCTTTCAGTAATCACAGCCTTCATGCAAACGGATCTTGCAAAATCGGGAGAATAAAATGGTTATGCAAGCCACACTCAGAGAAATCCGAGCAGGATTCGAGCGTCACAAACCAAGGACTAAGAAACTCTACTGCATTCTTTAGTAGTCGAGTTCACATTAGATCTGGAAAAAAGGACTCTAATACTCAATGCAGCAACTACTGCCTGAAAGCCATACACATTCATCGTCCTACCTTACATTCGAAAAAGAGAGTCAATCTCAAATGAACTCAGCTAGTACTCCTACCTGACCTTCTTAACTAACAATGATCACACCTGTACAAACACAGATGATCTCAAACCTAACTCATAAGCGTCAATCGAGCCATAACCACAGCTTCCTGCAGTTTGGCACATGAGCAGTTCAAAACGGATGAACATCACCACACCTTGCATCTCTCAATCTCATAAACTTCCATCAGTTCACATGATTCACTCATAAGGACTCATCCGGCACTTCTGCACCAGGTATACTACCACGGAGAATTCACAGCCACTTCAAACCTGCCTGGTGCGACAATAAAACAACGGTGGAGCGGTCTAGACCAGGTGCAATGACGAAGGCCTGCCCTGACAAAAGCAAGGAAACAATGACGACCGCGACGACGCTGGCGGCGGTAATCACTCTGGAGCCCCAGCAGGGAGCGTCGATAAAGAAACTCATCGTGAGGGGTGCTTGAGCTGCATCGCCCTCCAATGATCGGCAACGACGCGGAAGCCAAAAAGCAGCGTCGCCGTCATCGTGGTCATCGTCTCTCCCACAGGGTTCGCAGGATGCTTGTGTGACGTGGCGCTACAGTGCCAGCTGGGCATCACTTACATGCCAACTACGCTATTCATGATATTTAGCGTCGCTTTTCAAAATAGAGTCACCACAGCAACAAAAATTGTCGATGGGATTACACCGTAAAGCATATTGTAATTGGAAAAAGATTCAATTGCAACCTTGTTTTAGCTTTCATTGTGATTAATATTATTTTTATTTTTATTTTTATATTATTATTATCATTGTTAAAATATACAATGCCATGTCAATGTGGATGATTCCCTGTTAGAGATATGGAGATCACATGTTCAACGTTTCTCACAAAAAGAAAAATAAAATCAGGATGGACCACTTTTCTTTTTATATATATATATATATATATATATGTGTGTGTGTGTGTGTGTGTGTGTATATATATACATATATTTTAATGCAAATTGAAAAATGAATGAACTTGTTATCAAGGAATTTAAAAAGTATTTATAATATTTAATAAATACTTTATAAGGTGTAGTTAACTAGGTTTGTCAACTTAAAAAATCAACTTCTTTACTATATTCATAAAATAGTCGATCTTTTCCAAAAGAGGAATATAACTTCGATTATTTCTTTAAATGTTTGTTTGATTGTATGGGAAATTTTTAATGTTTTTTTAATAATTTATAAAGAAAAATATTTACTTTGTTGTCAAAGTAAATGCTATATATTTTTGTCTTTGGTAGTAGACAAAACTGTCTTTTTTTTGTTGTTATTTTTCAAGATAATTTCAATTCTAGTTTCTAAAAAATTCAGATAAGACATAAATATTTAGTAATAATATTACTTGCATAAATTGCATTATAATTTTAATCACTTCAAATGTTAAGAAGATTCTATGACATTATAATGCATAGTACAATTTTTATTACAAAAAATTTAAAAATTTACACAAAAGTATTGCTTTGTATGAAATGTTGGTCCAAATATATCTTGCATTGTGCTACCTATGAAGAATAATAATAATTTGCAGATGAAGCAACAAGAATTCAAACATCCAATTGTAAATAAATGACCATTTTTGCAACGAAATTTCTCAATTTCTACTCATCCCCAAACCATAGCTTACACATCTTCTATCTTTTAGCAATACTCCAACAACTCCTTGAAGATCTCTCTTTGACATTGGATTTCATAGGCCATATAGTTTTTACATGGTATGATATTAGAATGTATTGCAATTGTGTGGGATTGCAATTGTGTGGGATTTGGAATCATAGGCAACTAAAATATAGACTATATAGAGATGACATAATTTTAAAATGGACTCCCGAATACAAAATGCATGGCCCTAATGAGCTACAAATTCTATGCTAGAAGATATTGATTAGTGCATAACAAGTACATATATTGAAACAAATCAATGCATAGCAAAGTGGCATGTTGAAAGGAAGGTCCATAATTTTGTCCCTTTTCTATACTCCATGCTTGATTCAAGGTGTTAGTCAATGTGCTCTTTTCTATGACCACCTTCTTCCATTGTGTCCTGCAATGTGCAAGCTTATGTTTGCAAGGCTTGCTACTATACTAGAGAGCTTGTTGCTACGCCCTCACGTGTATCAACTCCTGGTTGTGTGCCTTGCAAGCACTCTCTTTTGCTACATTATGTTGATCTAGCAAAATATTTAAAATTCTCATCTACTCTCGGTTTACCAAATATGTGCTTTTTCTTTTTTCTTTGTTTATTCAAGATTTTGTTCCTAGATTTCTTACAAATTATTCATATATAGCTACAAAGTTAGTATTAGTGATTTAGAAAAATCCACAAAAGGATCTAAATTGCATCTTCTTGGATTGGGTCTTTTTGTGATGGTGGGTAGAGTTAGGAAGCAAATTATGGATTCTAGGTTAGGGCAAGTGGGATCTAATCTATCAATCTCTTCTATTGACTCCAAATTGGATGTGTTTGTATTGCCAAAAAAATGTATGGTGGTGGAATTTGGAATCAACTACAATTTGGTTGTAATGTTGTCGAGCAATATGATAGGTATGTCGTCACTATCCAATCCTATGTCCAGCCTACTTGCACCTTCATTTTCTACAAGATTCTTAATTGAGTTTTTTTCATCTTGTTCAACTTATTCTACAAATTATATATATGTTTTGCTTGGGCCAATATGCTTATTCATTAATCAATGAGAAGGCCCAGCTCACATCTTGTCATCTTTGTCATAGCAGACTAAAAATGCTATCGTGAATAGAAGTTAGAGAGCTCTTTGGCTGGATTTTGGAATATGGCCAAAAAGTTGTTAAACTAAGAATTAGAAGGTGTCCAATGAAATGACAGTATCAATTCCCTAGGAGCACCTTCTACTTCATTTATTCTTTATTGATTTCTGTAGAACAGCGATCATTTTCTGGTTAACTTTTATGTTTCAACATAAACCACACCTTTGCACAAGGCAACCCAAAGTGGGTAGGTATAGTGACAAAGTCCATCTTTTTTGTGAGCCAAAAACGTCTCTTCAAGGAAAAGAAGAAATTCTTTGTTCCACCATTTTAGGGTTTGCTTTCATCTAGAGTTGGGAGCACTCGTAACATCACAACCTGAGACATGTCTTTTCAATTAGAATATTTCTTTACTATATTACTATATTTATCAATTCTTTGCTCATTAAAATTTATATTTTCTTTGGTTTATTTTTATTTTATGTTTGAAATTGGAAATTTCTTTTTCCATTCAATGATTATGCTGGAACATAATGATTTGGACTTGTGAAATTCTTTGCAATATATACTGTCTACATTTGCAATGGATTATTGCCCTTGCAGTTTGGAGTACAATCTTCACCATCTTCAATAAGTTAAAAGTTCCCAATGACTTGCCAAAAAGTATCTTGTAAGAGTACAACATTTGGAAGGTGTGCCAGCTTTGATAACATATGAAATGAAAAAATGAAAAATAAAAAATCAATATAATATATTAAAAACTATAGTAGTGAAACACTCACCCTTCCAAAGTATTCAATCCACTTTCAATTCCTGCAGTGCCCATGATTCCTAAGCTACGTCATCAAATGGGCACACAAGTAGAGATGTGAACCATTTTGTTTGGTGGATTGGTATGAGGTGGATGTATGTTTAACTAAAAATTGACTTCTAAGCATTGGAAACATGTCATTCATCACACAAGTACAGCTCATGATAATATTTTTGTATGTAACTGTGATGTAAACTTTAGAGGAATAAACAAATAATCCAAATGGTCAAACATTATTTTTATTATTTTTTTTAAAAAATTGCACTTTATTAGGTCACTATCTTGTTGCATGAATTTTAGCCTCTAGAAGCCACCAGGTCCAAAATATGATATTCAAGAGTCTAAAAGCATTTATGGTTGACCTACTAACAAAGTTTTGCAAAGCTCATGTTCTTCCTTTGTATGAGAAGCATCTCCCACGGGCCCAGCCCTAGAAATGCCCTTCCAACTTAGCCATTCTTTTTATCAGATAGTGTACTAGCCAACCTGGGACTGATAAGGCCTAATTTTTTTTAAATAAAATAAAAGTAAAGTAAAAATATATATATCAATTCGATTTTTTAAAATATCAACATTCATCCTGTCTCTTGTGTTTATTTTAAACTAATACTTCAGGAGAATTGGTCAAAACTCTACATTGATTGATTCAGTCAATTCAGTTTCAGTCAAATATCATTTACAAATCTAATTTATAGTTTACACACAAGATTCTAAACCCATATCATGATTTTTTTAAAATAAATAAATAAAATTAAAAATAAAAATACCAGACTCATACATAATGTCCAGAAATTAAGATCATGAATTGCTCATTCCATTCCTAATTGTGAAATATCTATTAAACCTGATACGTAGATTGAATCATGATTAATTGTAATGTTAATTAGGGTAATGCAAAGCAACAAGATCCAAGTTACTTTGTTGTGAGGGAGTGAGTGACCAAGGCAGAAACCTTTTTTTTTTCCTTTGTAGACAAGGGAGAAAGTTGGTCCAACTGAGGCCCATGCAAAGATGGCTTTTTGCCAAAACATGGTTCCCCAATTTTGAAACCTTTCTGAAGGGGCAAACTAAAGAGTGAAAAGCAAAGAGGAAAAAGGGAGGGGGGGGTGGTGGTGGTGGGGAAACAATACAAAGAGAAGGACAGCACTACTACCTGTGCAATGAGGGAAGAAGGATGTGTAGATACACAACTAAAGTGGGGGGGGCAGGGGGGGGGGGGTTTGTTATGCAAATCTCATTCTCTATGCATCTAGAACATACCATTTTTATCACCCCTTGCCCAGCCCAGTTGACCCCTCAATGACTTTATTTCCTGGCCAGGTTGACGAATTGTTGACAAGGTTTTGCTTTGATGGGTTATTATTCTTTGTACTACCTGTGCTGGCAGGGGCTGTGGAGTTGGAGTTGGAGTTGAATTATTGTTTGATGATGGGCATTTTACATGGTCCCATGAGGTCCACACCCCAGTACAAATAAAATATAAAATAACCTAACCCATAGCATAGCATTTCCATGTCCACTGTGGAATATATAGAATAATAAGAAAGCAGGGAGTTGTGGTGGTGGTGGTGGCCAGTAGAAGTATGGTGGAATGTTGCAAGTTCTGGCACTATTCCCTCCCTTTTGCCTTTGACTTAGCTTTTGTCTTTGCCTTTGACTCTGTGTGCAAGGCCCCCTCTTGGGCCCAGCCTTTTGCCACACTTGCACAGGATGCATCTGTATCCTTTCAAAGAGACGACAAATAAGAGGCGGTGCTGCATACATTCATCTAAAATGCATGGATGATACATGGATGACTGTCTCACCATCCCCATCCACAAACTAGGACCCATCAAAGTGATGGACTAGCTTTGGACAAGCTCTTCAAAGGTGGGCATTGCCTATCATGCAGCATCTGAACCCACCAGTCTGGTTAAAATAACACACACACTGCAAAAAGATGTGAAAAATCATTAAAATAGGAAAGATTGAACAGTGATAGAGAGTATGAGTGCGGCAAATGAGTGTGGTCATTCATGGCTGTGGCTTAACCCCCGCACATAGAGCTTAACCGCAGCGTCAGCCCTTAACCTTGAAGCTGATCAAGGTAGACCTCAAGGTTTTGGTTTTCCATGCAGCTCCAATATCAGTTTGCAGCAATGAGACCCTGTCTGTGCATACATGATAAGTTTGTCACACACAAAGCAACAATATCACTTTGTCGCAGTAACAACATCATCGCAGATTGCGAGACTGTTCTTCGTGACTGCAGAAAGTCTCCCTTCCAACTCCTATCTCGGCAGTGGAATTTTCTTCGCCGCTGGGTGGTCCTGTAGCTGAACAAGTCTATGGACTCCGACGATGGATGTGGCAGGTCTCGGGCCTGTAAGAGAGCACGGTGAGTTCGATAAATTGGGTTCCTTGGGTTGAAATGGCTGTGCGCTTTTGGGTTTCGGGGTTCACGCAACAAACTTGCAGAAGTTTTTCAAATTTTATCGCATTTTTTAACGTCCCGATCTGTAGATTTGCGCCGCATGGTTGTTCTGTCTGGAGTGAATGAATGGATATGTCTCTTTCACATGACTGAAGCATGTGATATGTATATATATAGATAGATAGATAGATAGATAGATAGATATGTGGACACCATCTTAAGTAAGATCAAAAGTCATCACACAAATCAAACTAGAGCGAGCGTGACTTTCACACCAAACTCAGGGTCTCTTTCCTTGCAATATCATCCCACAAATGCACTGATTCAAACCAAGTCTTCACTAGCTCTCGTTGAAACCTGAGAACAGTGGAAATGAGCAGAGTTAGAACGGATACAAAGGTCCACAACGAGAGAGTAATATGCAGATTGTCGAAGAATTATATTGAATCCATCCGGGAGCTGTCTAGCTCGTGAACTGCTCGCACTTCTTTCCATTTGTGTGGTGGGCTAACATGGATTGTAATCTGTCAAAGCGCAATGGAAAACTGGTGCAAAACACGATCTGAGACCACGAGGTTCTCGACTCACATTCAGTAGGAATGGTCACATTGTTTTCAATGCAATATCCAGCGCTTGTGTAGGTTGTTGTATGAATCCAACTCACAGGCTCACTTATTAGATTTGTGTGTGCATTGCAGCTTCTGCGTCGTTCGAACAAACTCTCTCTGGCTTCACTAGAAAATGGCAATACACACACAAAATCTAATGTGTGAACATGTGAGTTTAAAATCACGTGGTTTGGTAGCTTATGTTAATATGCTGTTCATTTTGCTTCTTTCATTGACTCTAATGCCTGAAGTTTTATTTATTTAATTATTTATTTATTTATAAACATTCTAACCTGCCATGACCAACATATTGATGGTAAGACTATTCTTGTTTACTGGATGTCAATCAAGTAGATTTTGTAAATAATAAATATATTTTATATTTTATAATTAATTTTTTTAGAAATATTAAATTGATCCACCTAAATCTTAAATCAATCCACTACATGACTTAGCATATTGAAATGGCTCCAAGGCTCATCTTGGCCAACCTGAGTTCTATTGCAATGAGGGATTTTGTAACCTACATGACTTGTCCATCAATTCAAACAAACAATTTGATTTGAATATATGTATATATATATATATATATATATATCTATATAAGAGAAACTTAGGGTAAAAAATCTTCTATTGTAAATAAACTAATGTTAGCTTAGAAGAACCTTGGAGTAATTTTAAACAATGATAGATTGATTTAATATATATATATATATATATATATATATATATAATATGTTGGTAAAATAAATTTATAAAGTTGTACCAATTTTAAAAATATAAAAGATTCATTTTAAATAAATTATATATAATATAAATTAATTTTAATATTTGATTTTTTAATGAAGTTTAATTTTTTTCTACAACACATTATGTAGTATATTTGAATATAGTATTTTTATCTTAAAATTTTTTTATTGATTTTTATTTATTTATTTTAAATTTAAAAAATTAAAAGTGCTTTATATTCATATAATAATAATCATAGTTTATTTTATGCATAGATTTTTAAATCATGACATACAATTAAAAAATATAATTAATACTTAATTTTTAAAAAATTAGAATATTTTAGAATATTTTATATAATTAATAAAATTATTAAATATAGATATATATATATATATATATATATATATATAATCTCATAATATGATTAATATAATATTTTCAAATAGATATGCCAAATACCACCCATATAATCAAATTATGCATCATTTAAATTTATAAATAACTTTTTGTTCACAAAACTAAAACTAAAAAATATACTTTATTAGGATTTTTTATTCTAACTACATGACAAATTTGTTGATATAGAGTTTGAAATATGAATTCTAAATATTTGAAACAATTTCAAATTTACAAACAAAAAAAATCATGATTTTTTACTAATATTATTATGCAATATTCTCATCATTTGTAATTAAAAATTATGATGTTTTCTAAATCAATGTTATCAACACAACTTTATTAGATACTGAAAAATGAACTAATAAAACATATCGTCACTTTTTTCAAAATCTCTAAGTGACTCAGTGTGGCATAAGAAATGTTATCAAAGTTTTGGTTTGTTTTGTAATTGTTTGTGATTGTTGATGTTTTGTAATTGTTGTTAAAATTCATCTAAACTAAGAATGTTAGATGCTAGATCAAACCACACACTACGTTAACTTTACCACATTTTGAGGCATGCAACAAACACATCAGCTACTCACATTTGATCAAAGCCTAACCGACCTGTTTTGACAGCTCAAGAACTGTTGGTTCTTTTTAAGTCAATCACTCATTCACTCATACAATCACAAGCACGATCAGGCTGTTTTTTTGCACTTGATTTGCACCGCATACTGGACTTGTAAGTTTGCTTGGGTTCCTTATTATCTCACAAAGATCAGTTGCTATTTTCGCAAACAGTTTTTCTTGCCCACCTCATGGCCGGATGAGGGCAAGCGTTTGAGGTTGTGTGCTGAATGTTGAAAGTGCAAACTAGGAAATCCTTGTCTGTTCATCGGTCAAGCTTCAAGTCCAACGTCGAAACCATTGTTGGCTCCTTAGGTGGACGAGTTGCGGCACTTTCAGGTCCTGTAAGAGAACCAACTTGTTGATGCATTCACAAACCACGCCTTACTGTAGCGGAAGCTCAATAACACCCTAACCAGTTTCTGAAATCCTTGCTAAACTTGGGTAAAATTGGCAGTCTGGTGTCTGGCCGGAGAGCCATCACTACAGATGTATAGAACCAAATCTGAAGCTCACTGATTAAACTCAGACAATACACGGCATCTCCTCCTTTCAGTCATATCTAGATTTGAAACGATCAATGAATGAAGGTGTCTCCACAAAGATTGTTCCATAGGTTTGAAGTATCCACCCTCATGCTGCAATCTGGGTACTATTCATCGTGGTGTGGAAAGCAGTGATATTCGACTCACTCGCATTGTGTATTCTCCTAGATTGACAGACTTCAGACTTTTGATAACCATCCAGTAGACACGGTAATATGATCCAGAGAAAATCGTAGATTGCATTGGACGTGTTCCTTTCAGCAAAGCCGTGAATCAGGCAACTGAGTAATTACAACATTATTTGTGATGCAAAGTTCACTCTGTGCTAGTCTGTTCATGCTCCTGTTGTGAGTGATTTCTACTAAGTATATTACAAAATGACAAATATATAATATCCACCTCATATGTCAAAAGATATCTTGTTGTGGCCGCCTAAGTGACAGCGTTGGAGCAACCTACCCATACTCAAATAGTTTTAGCCGATTAGATCAGTCACTCGGAAGTCTTGGCAACTTTAGCTGCGAGCAATTACAAATTTTTTTGTTAAAAATTTAAAATGTTTTTAAGTTTGAAATTCAAAATGTTTAAACTAAAAAATGAGGAGGGTTATACCGAAGTATATTAGCAACATTTTTGAAGTGATATAAACTAGTCTCTCAAATTGGCAAGGTCTTTTATTAATATGAATCTTTTTCCACCAAAATTATTAGAATTTAAAGTATTTAAAAATATTTGTGAAAACTAAAAATTTTAAGAAGATGCAATTTAAATTTTAGATGAATTATTATATAGATATTACGATTGTTATAGTATAGGCATAAAGTTTTGTATAACTACTAGTCAAGATCTAAGTAAATTGAGTGGTAATGATGTTTTATCATTATCATCATTATTCTGATTTTTAAGTTTAAAAATTAAAAATAATTTTTTAAATTTAATATTTGAATACAAATGAGAATATATACTTATATTCATATATAAATATACTATTGAAGATTTGGTTTACAAAACTAAGTTTAATTTTATGAATAAATTCTTAAAATAATGTTTCCTATAAGTCTCATATAATTATTTTAAGGTTATTTTTACCAAGTATTAAAATATATGAAGTAGAAAAAATCATCCAAAATTAAACCACAGTAGGATTTTGACCTATTCATAACATTATTATATGTATACTTTGAAGTATTTATTCAAAAATAGACGCCCTATAAAAATAACTTAAGTTATAATAAATTTCTAATATTAAAAAATAATAAATATAATAAAATTTATTTTGAAAAAATAAAATTTTATTATTTTATTTAAAGATGTATTGAATTAAAATTTACGATAGTGTGCTTTGATAAATTTAAAAGTTCAAAATTTTCAAGATGCATATTCTCTTCTTTTGTTGCTCCTTAGGACTTTGATATTGCAACTAATATATTTATTTACAAAAGATTTGAATTTGTAGATGATATATTGTATTGTAAAAATTAAAATTATTTATAGAAGATATAAAATACTAATATTTGGTAAAAAAGAGGACAATTATTCTTTTAAAGTTAGATTAAGTCAAATAATTAAAAAGCTATAAAGCAATAAATCATAACTGTATCTTTCGTTTTTATGATTAATTTAGATTCACAAATGTTTCTATTATGATTATTCTTTTTATTATTTATCATTTACGATTTGCAAAATACTTGCATGCTTTAATACGTTTTAAGTTAAATTTAACAATCAAATAAATTTTTATTTATTTTTGTAAATTTTAAATGACTAGTATACTAATGTTTTCTATTAATTTTAAACTACAATTTAAATTTCTTTAAATTAAAGAATGAATTAATAATCTATGTAATAGAAATTGCACTCAATAATTGATTTATAAATTTATGAAGATATAATTCTTTAAAAATAAGGTAACTACCTTATATACAAAATACAACTGCTATTTAAGCTATTGTTTTTATTTAAAAAAATTAAATTATAAATTTGGAATACATATTAAATTTAAAATTTTATATTCTTTTATTTTTAGAAAATATTACTAAATTGAATAATAATATTTTAATTAACTTGTTAAATTTCTTCTTTGTAAAACTTTCTCTATAATGATGTTAAAGATACAAAGATATTTTTGATAATACAATTAGCTTATATTTTATTATTGCCAATTTTAACATAAGACATATTATATTCACTAAATTAAGAGATTTGAATGATGAATATATATATATATATATATATATATATGTGTGATATTTAAAAATTTTCAATTTATTTTTGTCAAATTAATTAAACTTTCTTGAAATTTTAGTATCTTTAATACACATAAAAATATACACTATTATATTTAATAAATAAAAATAAATCTATGATATATGTATATATATATATATATATACATATTAAAAAATAAGTATTTTTTAAAGAAATCTTGAGAAATATAATTTATGACAATTGCTTAAAAATTAAAAAACTATTAGATCTATCTTAGACTCTTTGTTTTTGTTCAGCATCAAGATTGTTTTTATTTTTTACTATTTTGTAGTTGAGAATGAAAAGTAATAATAATAATAGTAATAATAATAAAAGATACATAATTATTAAGATATAATACTACTAGAGTAGTTTAAAATAAGATACATGATGAAGAGATGTGACTGTGAATTATCAATACCAAAAAAAAAAATTAAGAATAGTTAGACATGTCTAATTAATACAATCTACATTGTACTTTGGTACATCAAGTACCACAAAGATATTGTTACAACGATTGTGAAATATAACACTCAAAAATTACATTACATAAGAAAAGAAACTATGAGTAATAAAAAAATTAAAAATAGAACAAGTTAAAAATAATCGTTTTTAAATAGATAAATATATATGACTATAAAGAAGTTTTATTATATATTTATTATTGAATTTATATTTTAAATTATACTTAAGCTAGTGCACTTCTAATGTGAGTGTTATTTATTTATTATTTTGTAAACTAAAATAAGACATTTGTTGTTAAGATGTATAATTCT